TACATTTAAACTTGATAATTATTTTATTTCGTGCACAATTTTTCATCTTTCAATGGTGTTAATTTGTATGTATTAATTTGATTCCATTGTTTTATTGTTTGAAATTCTCTATGATTTGGATGGATTTTATTGACGCTTTGCACGCTCTGTTATTTTCGGTATTAATAACAATGCGATCCATTTGTATATTTATTCTGTGTTTGATAAAAGAGGATGTAATGAATGGGAATAATAATTTTGATACATATTTTTAGATTGTTTTGTAATTTTACATTGTTTCTAGTCTTTGTGGAATATTTTAGATGTTTTTAGGTCACTAGTTTGAATTATTTCATCATAAAGACATATAATTATAAATTATTATAGTTTATATTTTGGATAACGTTTTTCAAATAAAAAAATAACAAATAATACTTATTATAGACATTATTTCTAACTATATATTCAACGTTTCAGCCACATTTTTAACTACTTAGAATTATTGTCAAAATATAAACTTTATGAATTTATGAATTCAGATTAGCAATCATGGAAATCATTTAACTGAAACGTTCTATGCCAATTATAAACAAAACAGTTTAATAGTTATTCATATGTATGTAGTTTGATTAACAATCGGTCTATATTACGAGAACTTATAGCAATTTTTCTTAAGGCAAGTTGTGACATATTATAAGTAAACAGTATTTTTGACTTCTTATTTGTTATCCAGCAGTGACTCCTAAGTCTGTTTCTATTTGAATACGTATTTGACATTGATGATCTCAATTGAAAATCGGCTTGATATCGAGCTGGCCGAGGTTGGGATCGAACCCGTAACTAGTGAATGCAAAGCCCACGTCTTATATATACTTATACGTATTTTGCAGTGATTTTGGTAAATACTCGAATATTTGCCAACTATTGCCCAGGATCTAATTCAACTATTGTCAACACGAATATATAAGGTGTTCAAAAAAATTGCATGTAGTATGAAAATTGTCATCTTTTATAAGTACAACCTAGAGCTTTGGGCGAACTGTGCTCTTTTTTGGTTATTGTGATTAATTTTTATAATTTTTGGAACCGTAATTGTAAATAACGTTTCTAGACATTTTATTCTCAATTTCTAGCACCACAGTCAAAAATAATGACTCAATTACCCCAAATTTTCTAGCATTAAGACCATTTGTTACAGAATGAATTTAAAAAAGTCAAAATCGTTTGACTTTGAAATACTCTCAAAAATGTACTAACATAAAGTCTGTTGGAAAGTTTCATCTAAAGTTCGCGCATAGAAATATTTTTTATGGATAAACATCATTTGTCGGGACAGCTAGTGTATATATATATATTATATATATATATATATATTTACTTTTAATGTGAACATATATGCAAGTCATTGTTCAATTAATAGGCTCTTATATTTCGTGTATAAAATACGAGTAATGAAAGTTACAGCAATAATAATAATTTCTTTGAAAGCATTTAATACTTCTCGAATATTTCATTACGTTACGGAAAGTTCCAGCAATTTGCCTTGAGGCACGATGCCATCCACCAATAGTTATTTTTATACTAACAATTTTCAATAGTAAAATTTTTAAATAATTTACTATTTTGCAGTTCCGATTAAATGCGCCAACTTTTGATGAAACGTGCAAATTCATTTTAGTACATTGTTTTTTACAGGAAGGCCTCTCAAAATCGACTAATTTTTAAAATTTTAAATTCATAGTCCAACAAAAAATATTATTTCCTGAAAACTAGGGGCAGTTGTGTTATTGTTGTCGATTGTGGTCATAGAAATGTTATTGACGATTATGGTTCCAAAGTTTAAATGAACAAAATTAGTAAAAATTAACTTAACTTAATTAATAATAGCCAAAAATTAGTCATAAGTTTACCAGAGTTTTAGGTTGCACTGAAAAGCTCGTAATTTCCAAACAACGTGAGATAATTTTTTTCTAATTTTTTTAGGAAAATTAAGGTCAATACGATTACCACGTTTTAGGCTTGACGTCAAGGTCTGGAACACCTTGTATATATATATGGATGTATTTTTTATTTTTAAAAAATATTTGGCCTCGCTTAATCTGAGCATTTAGCCACTGCATTTTTATTTATTTACATTCTATACTAATTTTTATATCATATTTAATATAAATATAACCTATTTTATATTCTTCTTAATTGCTTCAAACCTTGTTTTTTTTTCATATCAAATTTATAATTCTATTCGACTTCTATCTTCATTCCATTTTTTATTTTTCTTTTTAATATCAGCAAATTCTAATATTTGTTCTTCTTACTCTTGATATAATTCAGCTATTCGAATTCTGTAATTCCTATTTTTCCTAATTTTTATTCAATTTCTACTACAAATACAATTTTATTTAATTTCAAATTAACTACACATATTTTTTTTTTATAAATTCTAAGTCATTGACAGAATTCGATCCAAAGACCCCTGCCGTGTGGGTCGAAAAATACATACATACATACATGGTGTTATATCAAGTAAAAAAATGGGTATGTATAGTTATAGATGTTAAAGATTTTAAATGCTTGGAAAAATGCACAGTTGCATTCCTCCATTAAATTAGAGAAATTGATACGTGGGCTAAGCTAATTGATAAGTAATCTAATCGATTGTCGAAAGTCGATTTAGAATAATTTTAATACAAATTTAATTACAGAATCTAATGATCCAAATAATGATCATTCGTTATAAATACGATCTTCAACATCGATCAACCTTTGGCATAGCTAAAGATCTGTCGCCCGTCGCCCTACCTGCGTAGCGATCCTTTCCCGAGTTCCCGTGCGCCGTGCAGTCGTTGTTAACGCGTGTGGTCATGTCAAAACGAAACCAAAAGAAATTCCGCGGACAGTTTTCACTTTTCGCGCTGACACGGGAACGTGTGTGCCTGGTCGGGCTTGATTTACGACCGCTAATTGCGACTGAATGAAGTGTGTGTGAATTTAGAAGCACTGCAAAGAGTGCAAAGTGAACGAAATGCCAACTATGATTATACATTATGTTATACGAAACATGATTTTTATATTGTTTATAGGTTGATTTCAAACAATACTGAGAATAAATGATGCAGGGTAACGGAGGAAAGTTGATCAGGTAAATTGACTATAGTTCAATAATACAACGAGTTAGTGTGAGACCGTGTGCGACTGTCATACAATTATCATACATTATGTAATTAATAACAAGTTAAGAATTACTAGTTAATGACAAGTTGCAGTTGAAGAATATTTAAAGATTGACATTCAAGAAATTTTGAGCATAGACATTACTCAGTATGTATATGTATAGGGAAACTAGGTGCTTATCCTAATAGGGGTACGTAGTAACAGGTGTTTTACATTAGCATCTTAAACAATATTAAAATATTTTCAACTTCCCATAGGATAAGTCATAGTAATCGCAAACAAATCTAAAATGAAAATTTTTGTCTATTTTTACGTTTCAAAGGATTTTGGCATACCTTAGAAAAAATTGATGTATAGGTGTGTGTGTGTATTCATGTTTGGATACAATTTTTTGTCCACAATTTCGAGCGCACGGATCGACCGATTTGAATTATTCAAGAAACATTCGATTCCGATTGATGGAAAGATGTTATGATTAGTTTTTGCCAAAGACAGGTCCAGTCGTTTCGAAGATACGGTGCAAAAAGTGCCAAAAACGGTATTTTAGTTTTTGAGAAAAAAGAGCGCCCGATTTGAACGATTCGAAATACATTTTGCTTGTATTGACAAAATGAAGAAATGTTTTAATTTTTGGAAAGACAGTTGCAGCAGTTTCGGAAGTACAAAGAAAAGAAAATTGGCGTTCAAAAATGATCATTAGACATATATTCATCAAATTATCTGTTATTTTATAGAGATTTTAAATATAAGTACTAATTTTGTTCTAAATTTTTTCAGTTCCGTACCAAGATTTTTAATTTTTACAGGCCAATGGTACACATATCAAACATTAAAATTTTCAGAAAAAAAGCTTAAAATTTTCAAAAATATACAAAATTTTATACTTTAAATATAATTTTTAAATGTACAACTTATTTTGTACCAATTATTCTAATGGTAAGAAATATATTCTCTGATAGATCATGCGTCATGTTAGTGTAAACATTCTCTAGTGTTTTATATATAGTTAATAAAAAATTCAACTATCGTAAAATGTCAGGCTACGTTATTACTATCGACTTATTTTAAATTTCTTATTTCTTCTCTCAAATTTATCAATCTTTAATAATAACAATTTTATGAGATTGATATTTTTTTATAGTAGCGTTTTTTAAGATAGATAAATTGTTTAAATAGTTATCTTGATGTGAAATAACGAACAATACCTATAAAATAATTTTTACTTGATTTCGAAAAGGAAAAGCTGTAGTCTCTATACATCTTTATTTTGCAAATATATAATCAGATGACCTCAAGATATATTAATACAAAAAAAACTGGTACGGCAAGCTCTTAGCCCCCCAACTGGTATAAAACTTTTTTATCAAAATTATTAAATTAAGAAATATCTGCAACTGAAACAACCAACAATTTTGCACAAATTTATTTAAATAAGTTTATATTGAGTAACTTATTGGCGAAACGTTTACGAAATAAACGTTTCTGAAATAATTTCATACTCAATATAATTCCTAACTGAAAGTTTACAGATTTGACTTACCGATGTTTAAAAGACATTTTCAGGCTTGAAATATATTTAATTAAATAATATACTTATTTGAATTGCATAATGCAATTATAATGGACCTATGAGGAGACTAACCAGAACTTTGAAACGTCTAAAATCATAACATTATTAAACAGTTAATACAAAAAGATTTTAGTAATTTTATAATGTGCATTTATGTATGTAAATACTACAATAGATAGTTTTTATCTTTTTTGTCATTTTTATTTGAATTTATGATTCAAACCTTATGGCGCAAATAAAGAACAGGCAAAGATTTTAAAGCATCGTTATTTTCTTTCAGATTTTTTGACATTCAAATTTATACCATCATCAGTGTTTACGGAAAAAAATGGAATACAAATAGAACATGCAATAGCAAGAAATTATAAGATACGAAATTTGCACGTAACACTACAATTACCAGTGAGAATTCTACAAATATAAATTTTTTTGAGAACACAAAGTAACCAGGCAGGCAAATTCGGACTACTAATTCAGGGTATAACAAGTTTCATGTAGGTATATTAAAACTTCCAATATTATTGATTATCAAATTAGATTTTAGCATTTTATAAAATTTTCTTACATTTCAATTTACGTGTCATAACGCTGTTATTTTTAGCTAATGCTATTAATCCAAATATTAAAGTCAAGTAGCTACTGTAAAAACCTTTCTTTTCCAGTGATCCAAGTTCTCAAAAAATTCCAAATCGGACAAAACGAGTAAATGACTAATATCCTCCCCCCAGTATGGACATAAAGCACGTACGTTAATAATTGTTCTCGGCGAGTCCAGGGCGTTATAATCAGTGCTGATCCCTGGACAACGCTTCGACTGATAGAATGGATATAGACTTATAGAGTATTGTTGCACTATGCTACTGATACTGTGCATAGAGCAGTGAAGCTTGTAATGAGATTAGGACAATCCCTACATATGTGCAGGGTACAACTGCCATAGAGATATTTGAAACCGCGATATGTTGAGACACTGCTGTTCTGGCACCTTTATTTCCATCGAGTGCACTAGACAGACGTCAGGTGAGCGAGCGCATATACATGCCGCACGGGTATTATGGTTTGGTTTATGTAAATATTGGGTTTAGCTAATGCCTGTTGTAGATGTACTATTAATTTGAGACTTATTCGAAAATTCAATGAATACCTTCATAGATAATTTTAATTAATTAAGAGGGAATTCCAGTGTAGAAATTCAAAAAAAATCGTTTTTAACTTCCCGTAGGTAAGTTATAATACTTGCCCGAAAATCAAAAATTAAAATTTTTGCATCTTCACGTTTTTGTATATCGCAAATAATTCAGATTTTAATTTTAATTCTGGCTAAAGTTCTAAAGCTCACTTATATACTTTAAATGATTAATTTTAACTTTGTAATTCAGTTTATATAATTCTTATAAATATTAGATAATGTTACAGTATTTATAATAATTTATTTGAAAACATTTAATATTCCTCGAATATTTCATTACGGTACGGGATGTTCCAGCAATTTGCTTTAAGCCACGATGATATACACCACTAGTTTCTTTTATTTCAAAGTTAACTATTTAAGAATATGTACACGAGAGGATTTTTTAAAATTTGAATTATTTTCGGAGATACAGCTATTTGACCATGATACTCCTCTTTTGTTTCCTTCCTTTTGCGAAGCTTTGAACGCGTTTTTCTCAAAACCGTCTTTTTCAATACGATGCTCATGATTTCTAGAGATCTACCGAACCAAATTATTTGAAATTTTCAGAGAATCTTTTTTATAGACTCCTCTCTGGTATATACTAGACTCATCCTCAAATGTTTCAATGTTTACTATATTTAAAAATTCAAGAAACTCATAAAAGTGGTTAAAAAGGGTCTGTTTTTTCAAACAATTTTGTAAAACAAAAAAAAACTTATCCGTAGTATATATCATAGTGACATAGTGACAACATTGTCACAAAAAAAAAATCTTTTTTCTAATTTTTTCTATACTCTTGTACCTTGATAAATAAATTATAGAATAAATTATAGTAAAAAAATTGATTGTCTCTTTTTTACAATTATTTAAAAATGACCTATTTATGCCTCTGCACTGGAACAACTCCTTAAATATTATAACCAGTATTGAACAATACTAATAACGAAAAATAATAAAAACTATTTAATTATAATGTAAAAATATAAAGGTAGTCTTTTTTATATATCATCAACTGTATATAAAGAATATTTGCTCTTCGGTGACATCAAATTAACACAGGTCAACAAAAAATATTATATTATAAATAAAGTGTTCGTTATGGACAAATTTGCAGTTAGATTTTTTGATAAGATCGAATATTATTGTATTTAATTACGTTAAATAAATATATTTAAAATAATTAGAACTAGGCAGGACCGTTTTAGCAATTATTATGCAAATTAATAAATTAATTATCTTGTAATTCCATCAGTTAATATATTTGATATACATCGATGTATATCAAATAAATTAACTGATGGAATTACAAGATATTCTATAGAATTATTTTATTATCCTATGTTTAGTACACTCGATGTGACTTTTTTCAGCATAAACTCTCTTCTAAGTTTTGCTTTGTCACTATACTTTTAATTACATGTTAGCAATTATTCTTTATTATGATATACCCAAAAAGCCTTTTAAACTATTTTACTTCTAAATAAAGTATCGTGACAAAGAAAAACTTATAAGAAAGATTATGCTGAAAAAAGTCACACTGAGTGTACCTAAACATATGATAATAATGGGTAATACTGTCTTAAGGCAGGTCCGTGAGCTGAGTTAAACTCCAGCTCGATTCAGAGAAGAAGGGTGTGAGGGATTTTCTATTGCCAATTCACACCGCAGTGCCCGAAATGGGCTTATTTTCAATTGGAAACATCTATATTTCATATATATTTTCAAATATAAATTGACATCACTGTTGCCTAAACATAGAATATGTATGAAACATATAAAACTAATAAATAATACTATTAAAATCTAATCAAAAATTTTTAACTAATAAAGTTACACAGTTAACTGTGATTGATATACATTAATGATAAATTAAATGTTTCATTACATGTCTTACTCAATCAGTTCTAAATCGTAGAATATGTTGATATTTAGTAGGAAATACGAAATTTTTATATCCAATATTATTTCAACTTTGTCTAATTATTCAATTTGTTGACCATGAAAAAATTGTTGGAAAGTGCATAGTTGTTATACCTATATTAAATGATTAATTCAATATAATAACTTACGTCCTAAAATTTTGCTGTTATATATTTTGAATAATTTAAAGCATTTTTGGAAAGAAAGTTATTGTTACAAATATAAACAACAGTACAGAAATATCATTGTATAATTAATTTCTATAATAATAAAAAGAATATAGTGTATAATGTGAATTTTAATACTTTATAGATGGTAAAGGTACTCATAATCGCAATTTTTTAAATAATACATTATAGTCAACCTCATAAAATATTGATTTTGGTTTTTAATTTATTGATTGCAATGCACAGTAAACTAATATAACTTAATAATTCTTGATAAAAAATCAATTTTTACAATAATGAGCGAATGTATAAATATGTTATAAACTTTTTAAAGTAGTACATAGTAAGAATATTGCATATAAAATAAATTTTAATTCTATTATTTCTATATAATAAATCTTTCTAGTATTACTAAGAATGTAATAATAATGTAATGTAAATATAATTATTTCATAGATGACATAAGTTCCCAATGCGACAATACTAATTTCAGTTTTTACCATCGGGCACTTATTACCTATGCACTAGTCACCTCATGGCAATCTCTTACCTGTGGCGCCACTCTGTTGCAATTCGGCTTCTTTTATAATTCATCTTTTGACGTTTGATGTGCAATTTTTATCAGAAGGTATTACTTACTAATAATTATATAGTGTTATTATTATGTAGACTATTATATATCATATTTATTTAGAGAACATTAAGCCCCGGTGAGTTCATACATTGCTTATGTTACAAATATACCTGTGAGTGATTTAATCTTGTGTGCTTTGTTTAATAGTTATTTAACAATTTGTGTAATAATGATAGTGGCCATTTTGAGCATGATATTACGTGTGATATTAAATTTTATTGTGTAGTAAAAATATGTGTATATTACTCACTCGGACTCTAATCTGTAAATATTATTAAAATTGGATGTCGTTGCAAATCATAATGAATCCGGCTTGTGAGGTAAGCTATTTTAATTTATTTTACATGTGGTTTGAGAATGGAATGAAAAGAATTTTTTATATATTCGCACAATATATAAAATGCATAAAAATTGTTCTCAAACAATTTACTTTTCTTTCCAATTTGATATTGTTAGAATATAAGTGAGCTGTAGAACTTTAGCCAGAATTAAAATTGAATTTCGAAATATTTTCCATATACAAAAAAATTTTTTTTTGAATTTTTTTTTCAAAGTCAATGATTTTGTCAAAACAAGCAGAATGTTTTTGAATCATTCAAATGCTTAGTTCTCTCAAAAACTAGAATTTTTTGTACAGTCAGCTCTGTATCTTTGAAATGGCTAGACCTGCCTTTGCCAAAAACTAATTACCTTTTTTCCCAATCATTACAAATGTTTTGTAAGAATGTTTTTTAGATCATTAAAATCGGATATTCCGTTCTAAAACTAGATTTTTATTTTCTGTACTCTTTGCTCCGTATCTCCGTAACGGCTAGACCTGCCTTTGCCAAAAACTAATCAGCACATCTCATGGCCCATTTTTCAAACTCACTTTTTGGCGTAACCATAAAAGATATAAGCCATTTTTAGGCATGTTATAAAAACCTTTTCTTGACATTTTCAAAAATTGAAGGAATGATGACGCAGCCGCGAGATGCCTGTCAGAATGGTACTTTCTTAATAAACCGATAATAAAATATCATTAAAAAAAATTCGAGCTTTGTAAAAACAGGTTCGTCGAATAGTTCGCTGGCTATTTGACTATAATATAGAAGACTGGGAACGGTTGTACCATTTTTTATCAGCAATAATTTTGTTGATTTACCAGCTAGCTGCAAGAAACGTAAATTAAATAGTAATTTGAACATTTTCCTATATGGAAATATAGAAATACTGTCCCTTAATACAATGTATTAGTCCTAAATTTAAATCATACAAGAAAAGTGAAAATAGAACCGGTAGGAAATATGACATGTAGATCGGAAATTTTGTTTTTTTTCTTATTTTAAATTGACATTTGTTGAAAGGATTATTTCATATTATTATTATTGATTAACAAATGATACGTAGAGTAACAAATGAACAGGTGGACAGATAGGCATGTGAACTGGTAAGCAGGTGGACAAGTAGGCAAGTGCGAAAATAGACATATAGACAAGTATAAAGGTAGACTGATGAAAATGTAAAAAAGTAGACAAGAAGGTAATTCTACTGGTAAGCAGGTAAAAACGTGAATAGGTTCACAAGTAGACAGGTAAGCTGGAAGATAGGTACTATAGTAGACAAGTTGAAGGTAGTCACTGAAACTAGTAGTCTTAGACAATAGTATACCTAAGCAGGTAGTCATTTAAACTGGTAGACACTTGGACAGGTAATGTAGACAAGCTAAAATATTTGTCGATTTTAATAATTGATTGAATCGATTATTTGTACATATTAAGAAGTTTGTGCAACTTGCTTTAAGGCAGAATGTAACTAAGTGAATTCATAATTGGCCATTGTTAGTATTGCTTATGCAATATCTACCTAGTTGTTCAGATTTGTATAATATTTGACGAAATGTTTGAAATTATTATAATTTTAATAAATGAATAAAAACGTTGTTTTGTGTTAATATTATTCAGTCACATATAACAATTAGAGATCAAAAATTTTCTTCAAAACCCAGAACGGCAGTAAAACTATCCACCATATCATGTATTCTAGTATGAATTGGTGAGAAACAACGATTGTTAAAATGTTTTATTGTTCGTATTAAATAACACTGTTATCGCTCCAAACATGTCTAATAAATATCTTATAAAATATACGAAATAAGTCAAACGTCTTGGGTTGCATGAGCGTTATCTAAATATGTAATAATAGACTGTTGGAATAATAAAATAAAAGTATATAAATGGGGGAATTCTGACAAATTACGTTTACAGACCGAGTCAAACACAATGATATTACCATTAGCATTTCTCACTACGAAATAACCGAGTAATTTATTTATTTTTGGCTCAAGGTGTTACACAGTACACGGTTTTGATATCTTAATTTAGATAACGCGCCGCGCCGCACGAAACGCTCTCGATTGTCAGTGCCTTCGAGGGTTCTTTGTAAAAAGTTTTCTAAATTTATTTACATACGAACTGTCTCAACATTATAAATATTCATAAATTATTATAAAGGTATGTTTTGATTATATATGGAAAGGAAAGTAGTGCCCATTATTGAATGAAAGTTCTATCTTGTACTCCCCTTAAAGCGTTTGCGGATTATAGCATATAGCATTCACATTTTAAGGCCAATTATTAACTTCCCGTAGGATAAGGCCGAAAATCGAAATTGGAAATTTTTGCATATCTTCAAGTTTTAGAGGTTTCTGAACATTTTGCCATGCCTCAGAAAAAATGGATGTGTATGTGTGTGCACGGATCAACCGATTTGAATAGTTCAAAAAACATTCGATTCCTATTGATAGGGATCGGAATATTTTCAATGATATCTCGGCCATAAGCGAGATATACAGTTGAATATTGGTATATCGGATTTTTTCAAGACCTTCAAAATAAATTATTTAAATACCAAAATGCCGGTTATGTATGGCAATATGCGCCCATACCTTTGTGCGTCGTGACTATTATGTACTCGACTAGCAGACCCTTCAAACATCAGAATGTTCTGGCTGTTTACATATACTTTCTGAACAGTTAAAAGAATACACCCTCAAAATTTGAGCCACTTTGGAGCAGGTTATAAACGCTTTTTTGACAATTTTCAAAAATTGAAGAGATGATGACTCAACCGCAAGATGCCTGCCAGAATGGTACTTTCTTAATGGTTAATAAAATATTTTTCAAAAAAACTCTAGCTTTGTAAAAACAGGTTAGTCAAATAGTTCGCTGGCTCTTCTTCTATTAACTACTATTATTTTTTAGAGATAGTACTATAACTGAATATTTATTCATTACCCAACAATCCTCTACAAATGCCGAAGAAAGGTTTCCTTTTCCGTTGCGGGTTGCGGGCACAATTCATTCAATTGATGTATGCATGTGATGTATTATATATTCGAGAATGTGGTTTATTGGTACAGAGGCGCCATTTTGAATATAATTTTGATTATGGAACACATTGCAAATGTCTGGTGGCACGAAACAGACAACTTTATTACGGCAGAGCGAGCACACACAATAAGGGCGGAATTATATAGCGAAAGGGGTAGATTACACAGCGATAAGGGATGATACACTGGAATGAGATAACGATACACACATCTACATATGTATCAGCGCATGACGGAATTTGATTTCTGTGAGAAGAGCAAACTCTTGGCTTAAATTGAAATTAAAGGATTCCCTTCCCTTCCTACAATACTATGTTGCATTTCAATGTTTCGTTCGGGAATAACTTGATGATATCGTTGTTTTATACATTGTTTGAAAATCGATACAAATCCAATGTACGATGATGGTATTTTAAATTACTCACAATTTTTGTTTGCTATATACAGGTATCAGATTTTTAACTTTCCGTAGGGTAAGTTATTGTAATCGTCCAAATATCAAAAATGAAATTTTTTGCTTATCTTCACGAATTGAAGGTTTCTGAACATTTTGGCATACGTTAGAAAAAAATGGATGTGTGTGCGTATGTATGGATACAATTTTTCGTCTACGTTTTCGGCTGCACGAATCAACCAATTTGAATGATTCAAAGAACATTCGATTCCTATTGATAGGGAGATGTGCTGATTAGAAAAGAAATAAGAAACCGAGTTTTTGAGAGAACGGAGCATGTGATTTGAATGATATAAATTACATTCAATTCGTAATGATTCGCAGAGAAGTGGTATTACTTTTTAGCAAAGGCAAGTCCAGCCGTTTCGGAGATACAGAGCTAAACATGCATAAAATACAGTTTTGAGAGAACCAAGTATTATTTTATCTAATTTGAATGATTCAAAAAACTTTCTGCTTGTGTTGACGAAACGATCGTTTTTTTAGGAACAAAAATATTTTTTCAGTTTATAATTTTTATAAATAAATATTAGACAATGTAACATTACTTATAAAAATCTATTTGAGAACATTTAATATTCCTCGAACATTTTGTTACGCTGCGGGAAGTTCCAGCAATTTGCCTTAATACACACTACTAGTTTATTTATTTTTTATGAGAATATATATAAACGCCCCCAAGCTTTTATGCGTTTATTTTAATAATTTAATATATAACATAAAACTATTACTTTAATATAAATTAAATATGTAACTAATAACTATAATAATAATTAGATCATATTTGATGAATTGATAATTTTGCATTTTTTTATTGATGTCTTTCAAAACTAAAACACCTTAAGTGTGAATATTAGTAGCGTCCTTCTACATTATATTTCCATCAAATTTGTTATACAAGATTAAATATATGTAAAAACCAACTTATTCCTTGTTGTATATCTCCCTCTCCTTATGTACAAATAGTGGTTTCGTCCTGCTAATACTTTTATCAAATTTCAAGTTACAAGAATCTGAATAATTGTAAAATGCATGCAATTTCTTCATATAAATTTAAAATATTTTGACATGGCCTCCCTTAAAGAGCAAATATTTTTTTGTCCATCCACTTCGAACATTCCTTCAAATGTTACAAAAGTTTGAATAATTGTTAAATTCATACAAATAAATAAAACGATTAAAAAATATGGTGCTAAAATCACTTTTGTAATAAAATTCTTGCAAATTATTAACCGAATATACACATTTTTATAAATAAAGGCATTTTGAATGTAAATAAGTTTTTATGGATGGTTTTATTAGTCACATATCAATGGGAATTTAGTATTTTGTTTGGTTTTCTATAAACAAATAATATCTTTGTTATAAAAATGTTTTAACTAATTTATTTATTTTCAGTCGAAATCCAATACTGAAAACAGAGATCTTTAAAAACATTTAAAAAATAAAGTAAAAAATTCACTAGAACAAAGGGTCAACTTCACAAATCGTGAAAAATACACAATCATAGGATACACATGTTATAATCCAGAACAAGTGAATAAAAACCATGAAAACAGTACAAGGACAATAAAGTAGTGATAATGAATTAACATAATTGAACTTTTGGGTCGTTTTGTGGACTAAAAAGTATTTTTTTTGTGTTAACTAATTCTGCAACTTTGACCAGAAAGACCACGCATTTCATAACTGAGGTTCTAATTTTGTTGGTTTGGAAATACAAATCAGAAGGATGCATTATGGAGATTCTTGCATTGAAAAGACCTCTTAGTTGACATGAATTTAGTATTCATCCACTTAACAAGTCAAAAGATACAAATCTTTAAGACGATCCATACCTAGAATTTAAGACCAGGACCAAGCATAAAACTGGAGATGCTGCTGAAAAAACAAATACCTATGTCTTTACTTTATCTTAATTTGTGATGTTTTTGTTGATCAGAAGAACATCATTATAAAAGTTCTTTTAGTGATAAACAGTATTTTCAAAAAGACAAATATTTGCTTGTGGTCAAATAATTTGCCTGGTGTCGACTCGTAGTGATAGTTTTTTCGATTTTTGAGCTATTTTTTAATCAAGGTTTGTTTATCGTTTTTTAGTGTTTGTGTAGTGTTTTATAAAAGCCTGTATAGTTTTCTAGTGCAGTGATAGTGTCTTGTTTCCGGTTCCTGATTCCTGGTTCCTGGTTTCTGGTGAGCTCTCTTCTGGAAATCACGAGGTGATACACATATTTTTTCAGCACTAATCGATATTTCATGACATATTGAAAAATTGCTCAAGCTTTTTTTTTCTTCTCTTCAGACAACAAATTAGTAATCGGGATTTTCCAGAAGAATCGGTGATTTTGAACAAAGGTCAGTGCATTTTCATTCCTAGGCATGATTTCTTAGGGTACGGTCACACGTCTCTTTGTGTGCGTTCACAGTAAACTGTAAACTAGGTAATAGTTAGAAAGGTTAATTATTACTTTTTTAGTGTAGGCAAAATTGTGACCGTACCCTTTACTACTCCACAAATTTCTTTCAGCCTAATAATAAGACTTTTTAAAATAAAAGTGAGTGCAGTAAATAATAAAATTCGCGTAAATTAATTAACCATTGAAACAAGAGTGATAATTAAATAAATTTTGTATCATTTCGCGTAAAACAAAGTGTGTGCAAGTTTCAACTCAATTTGACTCTGTGCAATTTTGTGGAGAAATGCTGTCATCCATGCAGTTTTAGGTAAGATCAAATATATGTACAAAATTTTAAATAAGTAATTTTTTTCTACTGGAAACTTGTACGCATATAAATAATCGGCGAACATATTAAATTAAAAATCGTAAGGAATTTAAACCAAAACGCAATCAATTCGTATTGATAAAACTCAGCTCTTTCGTTGATATGGGGAGAAAGTGCTAAGAATGGTAATTCAGTTTTTAAGATAATGGAGCGTCCGATTTGAATGATTTAAACAACATTTTATTTGTATTCATGAAATAAAGAGCTGACTAAATTTTTGAGGAAGGCAGGTCTAGTTCTGTTAAAAAATACCATTCAGCTTTCCAAAATGAGCATTAGGCAAATGCACAACAAATTGACAAATATTTTATAGAGATTTTAAAAATAAGTACAATTTATATTTACATTTGGTGTCACTATCAAACCAATAACTATCTTTACCAATAAATATCAATAAACTATCTATCAATCTATAACACCGTATCATTGCACAAATAAACGATAATTTATCTATATATTATCTTTCAATGGTCTGATATAGCCAATAATTATATCTGGTCCTTCGGCACAGTATCCGCAAAAAGTGTACTATTTCAACCAAGTTTAAGAACTAACCAGTTCATGCCAAACATAGTTTTTTAAGTCCATTATCTATTAGAGAATAATTAATTTTAATATTTTATGCTATGTGTTCTAAATCTCCAGCCTCCATAATATCAAACATACTCGTCGAGTGCTCAACAATTTGAAGCGTTGGAATAATTCCGTAACACTTACCGCATATATAGGTATATACTTGAGATATGTACTTTGCTCAGAATACGAACGGCAACTGCAAATTTCAATTATAATCAAATCTGTACATTAAGTATTCATACGGCTTAAAACAATGCTTCCCTCATCTGATGTCTGACACGACGATGTTGGCGCAGTGCGTGCGACGAATACGATGAATTTCTACCTACTGCGATGTTTGTTCGAGTTCAAGTTCTGTTATGAAGGGAATTGAGCATATTTAGACAATTCGACTAACATTTATGATTGCACAGCTCGATATTGTCATTCTATTCGCTTGTATTTAGATACATCTCTAAACCCTTTCGAACGATCCATACGTTGATAGTGCTGAACGTCATGCTTTGGCTTTTAGACGCAATTTACAAATGTATGAATAGAGCCTTAAGGCAAATTGCTGGCACTTCCCGTACCAAAAATTAAAATCTTTAAAAAAAGCTTTCAAATTTTTTTAAAAGTTTGAAATAATGAAATTTTTGAAAATTTAGAAATTTTACGTACGTAAAGTATATTAAAAATTTCAGTTTCGTTTGTTTTTGCGATGACTATAACTTGAGCTACGAGAAGTTGAAAAGAAGCTCTCTTATTATATTTTCTGATAGTTTGTTTCAATATTTATTGTAGGAATGAGCAAAATAAGTACTTATTAACTTCCCTTGAAAGGAGAAGTTCGTTTACATAGAAAAATCAGATTTGCTAATTTTATGTTTTCTCGACGTTTCAAGCCATTCTGAATCGAATGAGACCAAATTTGGAAAAAATGTGTGTGTATGTGCGTGTGTGTGTGTGTTTGTGTGTGTGTGTATGTGTGTGAACAGATTTTTTGCCGTAAATCGACGTTTTCTCAAAAACGGCTGGACCGATTTCAAAAATTTAAACGCCATTTGATGTAGGGTAGAGCGGGGCTAGTTGAGCATAGGGGCAAGTTGAGCAATCGAAATATCTCGAAAACTATTCATCGTCCGTTTAGGCATTATATGACGGAAAGATAGAGGTTTGGGAGAAATAAACATCCCGCGATCGGTAGTGACCGCTGGACAAATGAGTGAGGCTCACGGGCGTTTTGTTTATTTTGAGACCAAAAAGTAAAAAAGTAATTCATCACGAGTTTTCGTCTAGTTTAGTCAAAAGTTCTTTATTTTTAATCAGGTAAATGTTATTCTTTCATATAATTATAGTACTTTTAATATGCACAGAGATTCTGGGTATAATTCTCACGGTTTTTTATAAACTCACTTTTATTTTGAAATTTCGAGTGGGGGTTAGAGCATAGTTGCTAAACTTGTTCTGTCACTAAGACAATTACCATTAACTTCCAGAAATTAAATTTTATTTTTAAGATTTCTATGAGTTTTTCTATGAGGAATTAAATATTATTATTAAGTCTATGAGTAATAATATAAAGAAATAATGATTTTAAACAAAAATACTGAATATAATGGTAAAATAATTCCTTAGATACGATATTGTTTTGTTGATTCTACTTTTAGTTAATTATTCAAAGAAAATTACTGTAAATTTTGTTTTCTCTGTCAATAAATACTATAAATATAGAACGGTTATTAAAAACTTATTTTATTTCATCACTAATCGACATTGAACCTATGATTTCATTATACTTTCATAGTGCGCAACTTGCCCCACCTATGGGGTACATTGAGCATACTTGACTTTTTGCATTTAAACAGCTGTAGCATTTAAATTTTACTTATTACCAACAAATAGTATTAACACTTTTGTTAAGCGATAAACAACAAATCCGTTAAGCCGTATAGCAATTTATTGAGACTTTTCGTTGAGGTGCTATATCCGTTTAAGTAAAAATTTGCTCAACTAGCCCCGCCCTACCCTATCTCGATCAGAACTATTGTTTGTCAATTCTGTGCGACGATAAGCCAAAAATTCAAAAATCGTTCGAAAGATATTGGTTGGGAATCGTGCTGTTCAGTTTTTGGTAGAGATCGGCCGGGCCGTTTTTTTGTAATAAAGTGTTAAAAAAATTTCGACGATTTTTATTATTATTTTTTTGACAGTAGATACCATAGTCTTACAGATCATACTAAAATATTACGCCCCTACGACCACTCGTTTAACTTTAAAATTTCGTCAAAGTTTGCAAAATTTGGTATCGTTATTTTGGCATTTGTCAAAATTAGACCTTTCATCAACGTTTGCCTAAAAACGCCTGAACCGATTTCAGAAATTTGCACAATTTCAGATGAGGATTATTGTTTTTCAGTTTTGCACGACTATCGGCCACGCCGTTTTTTTGTAATTTGGAAAAAAGTGTTAAATTTTCGGTCTACATTTAAGCTCATCATACTACCGAATCGATTTTAAAAAATCAAAAACCGTTCGAAAGATATTAGTTGGGAATGATACTGATCAATTTCAAGTGAAAATCTACCGAGCCAATTTCTTGTGATTAACTGTTGAAAAAAAAATTAAGCCGATTTTTATGAATTTTTTTTGGCGATATATATCATGGTTTTATAGAACTAACTGAAGTATTACGGCCTTACAACAAGTAGTTTAATTTTAAAAATTAATCAAAGTTTGAGAAAATGAGTAGTTTTTTTGACGTTTGTTAAAATTAAAATTAGACGATTTACTTGGTATAACGCTAGAGGGTACTTGGTCTCAATGCACATACTAAACCATCAAAGTCCTACTACAAATGTGGCTTGCTAAATGGAAGATTTGCATAAATGAAACCAAATCAGCTCATATCACATTTACCCTGATATGAGAGAGGGTACGTGTCCTCCAAATTATTTAAATAACGTCCAGATTCCGAAACAGAACATAGTGAAATATCTTGGTCTCCATTTAGATAGCAGACTTACTTGGAAAAGCCATATAAAAACAAAAAAGCAGCAAATAATGATCAAAATGAAAGAATTTGATTGGCGTAAAAAGTCTAAGCTCTCTGTCGAAAATAAGTTGCTGCTATATGAATCAATTATTAAACCAATCTGGACCTACGGAATTGAGCTCTGGGGATGTGCTTACAAATCTAATATAGCTATAATGCAGAGAACTCAGTCAAAAATGTTACGTACAATTCTTAATTCTCCGTGGTACGTGCAATTAACGTTCAAAACGGTGCAATTAACGTTCAAAGAATTCAAAGAAAAATACAAACGCAAACTGGACTCACATTCCAACCCATCTATAGTTGACATTACTCAACCTTTTGGCATTAGGAGGTTGAAACGACAATGGCCCTTAGACTTAGTCTTAGATTAGGTCTAATATAATATTATAATAATTGTAAAACTGAGAAGTTCTCATTGGAGTTCTTCTTAGGCATCACTCATAAATATTGTCACTTTAGCTCATAGGAATCTTTATGTATTTCTGATTGCTAAATAAAACTGAGTTAAAAAAAAAAAAAAAAAACTTGGTATAACGATAGAGTACTTGGTCTTAATGAACATACTAACTAAACCATTAAAGTCCTACGGAAATTGGTTCAATTATAAAAATTGTTGATTTTTGAAAATTTGCTTTTAGAAAATACTCCGAGTTAACGTGTTCGTTCATTTTCAAATATTTGTAATAAATCCACTCGGAATACTTTTAATCACTCATAAATAAATTTATTTTTTATTGATCAAGTCGATTATTTGCACATATCGGAAAGTTCATGTAACTTGCCTCAAGGCAAAATACCAATGCCAACTAGTTTAAATAGTCATTCTTACATTAATTCACATACCCAAATATATTCATTCATAACTTTACGAACCACGGTTTGAATACCTCATATAAACTGAAAATGATGGAAGAAGAATAAAGAAATCACATTCCCTAATAAGTATATATAAATAAAATAAACCGAACGCCGTATTGCGAACGACTTATTCCAGTAGCCGCGTCTCTCGTCATATCCAACGCGCCTGATGAAGATAAATTATGAATTTGTGCGGTGTTTTTTGTGCCCGCTGCGCCGCGGGAGGGCAGGTAGCGTGCGGTCGAAGTGATTTTGGGTCGTGCCCCGTTCATGCTACCGGCAGAGTATGAACGGTGGGACAGAGTGTCGGGTTTTGACTCACGAATTATCATTAATTATTACGGCCGTGACTTAATTGGGACACTAGAGTGAGTAATATGACAGAAAAAACACATTTCTTGAATGGGGGAGTGAAAAATGGGTTTATGTTTCTGTTATGCTTCTCCACGAGGTATTATGTTTAAACAAA